ACGACAGGTACATTTTGTGTGACTGGTTGATGATTTCCGTCCTGCTGACTAGACGGTCACACTCATCCTCATTACAATCCTGAATGCAACCAGCCCAAACACCGCTGTCCTACTGAAGAGGCAGAAAAGAGAAATCAGGGAAATGGCCTATGATCCTTGCCTTTCAGGAAGGATATGCTCCAAATGCAGGAATGGGAAATGGCACCTCCATGCCTGGCTCCCGCTCTTGTGCAACACCACAAGCAAATTTCAGTTCAGTCCTACTCAACATTTATATGCATTTGCTAGTGCCACATCTTTCACCCTTCTGCTGTGGAAGTCAGGTACCTAGGTATCTTTGAGAATGTGGGTCTGGGTAAAGTGGTAACTACTAGACAGACAAAAATTCTATCGGTATGTAAACAAAACAAAATTCTGTCTCTCTACTCTTGCCACCAAAAGCTTGGAAAAGAAAACTGCTTTTTCTACCAATCAAGAAAACTGAATTCAAACCACTTTACAACCACATAAGAAAAAGTGAAGCTTAGACAGAAACTGAGGGCCTTAGACTTCTTCCTCACACATAGAAAAATATATCACAGATTTAACGTTATAAGCTCACTTAATTGTAAGATACATGCCTTTTTGTCATTTTTTTAAACATGGCGATTCCTACCTTCATGTCATTGGAAGAACTGCTGAAATTCTCCAGATCCTTATCCCAAGCTAAATTTATTCTAATATTAAATCCTTTTAAAAAACAAAATGAAAAATTCACACACAATGTTAAGGATGGGTCAATGATTGAGAGAACATGTCCAAATTTGAAGGCAGTATATTTATTATCATCTTTTCTAAACAAGTATTAGAAAACCCATGAAATTCAGGATGAGACAAAGGAAATGGAAATATGTTCCAGTATAGAGAATATCCAAAGTGCATTAACTTTATCCTATAGTGACACCATGAGGAAAAAAAGAAATAGACTACACTAATTTTAATGATACATTAGATGCAGTGCAGTCTTCATTCTTGCACTTGTGATTATTGGATAATGATAATTGCTAGGTTGCAGAATTAAGGGTTTGGGCACGTCCTAAGCAAAAATGTCCTGATGTATATAATTGAGGCTAGCACTACTTATTTCTTGAGTTTATGTTGCAAAGAAGATTAATATTTTTTACTTTAACTTACCTTTATATACTTATACTGTTATATACTGTCTGGAAGGTATCAGTGATGGATTAGGTGAATAATTCTGCACTGGAATTCATAGAATCATAGAATGCTTTGGGATGGAAGGGACCTTTAAAGGTCATCTAGTCCGTCCGCCCTGCAATGAGCAGGGACATTTACAACTAGATCAGGGTGCTCAGAGCCCCATCCAGCCTGTCCTTGAATGTTTCCAAGGATAGGGCATCTACCAACTCTCTGGGCAACCTGTTCCAGTGTTTCATCACCCTCATCATTGTAAAAAATGTCTTCCTTATATCCAGTTCTGAATCTACCCTCTTTTAGTTTAAAACCATCACCCCTTGTCTTATCGCTACTGGCCCTGCTAAAAAGTCTGTCCCCATCTTTTTTATAAGCCCACTTTAAGTACCGAAAGGCTGCAATAAGGTCTCCCCGCAGCCTTACTGCAGGTGGGGTCTCACCAGAGCAGAGTAGAGGGGCAGAATCACCTCCCTTGACCTGCTGGCCACGCTTCTTTTGATGCAGCCCAGGATGTGGTTGGCCTTCTGGGCTGCGAGAGCACATTGCCGGCTCATGTCCAGCTTTTCATCTATCAGTACCCCCAAGTCCTTCTTAGCAGGGCTGCACTCAATCCCTTCATCCCCCAGCCTGTACTGATACTGGGGATTACCCCCACTCAAGTGCAGGACCCTGCACTTGTCCTTGTTGAACTTCAT